CGAGCGTTCGGTTCTGCTGGGCGAGGGGAGTCAGCTGCCGGCTCCGGTTGTAGACCGGGTTGGGTTTTGTGTTTGTTTTAAGGAAAGACTTTGTACTAAAAGTCTTGTGAGGCACAGCAGGCTTTCTGCTGAGAGCCAGCGTGACAGTAATACACGGCTGTGCCCCGTGGCTCAAGGATTTTCAAACCATAACGACACGACAGATGCAGTGCAGTTGCTGGGAACAGGTTAGCTCTTGGTGGTAATGCCAGGGACTGAAATAATGCTTGGTGTCTGGGCTTCCTTTGTGTAGCTTTCTGTGCTTGGAAGAGGCTGCTGTGTCTTTTGTGCTCAGCTCTCTCCTGCTGGTTTTCCTTGCTGCTTTTGTAGGTCGATCTCAGTCTTCCAAAACCTAGTTTTTACACAGGAGCTTGCCTTATCTGCATGGACTTGAATTGTTTTTGTGGCATCATTGATCAGTGTCATTGCAGTATAACTGATGACTAGCTAAATCCTTGAACAAGCGCTAACCCAGCAAGGATGATGGTAGGTGACCCAAACTTTAGTAGGGCTTTTCTTGTGGCTTTTCCGCATGAAAATGGTGCTCAGATTGTAACGTGCTGAATCTCAGAGGTTGTCCATTCAGTCTGAAAAGTTTATGTGGCCCAAGAGGCGACTGTAATTGCTTGTGTCTCTTTTTATTTTTTCCCCAGGCTTGTGATCACCATGGCTGCCGTGGATCGTTTCTCCCTCTTGTACAGAGAGATCAGTCGTTCCTGCAATTTTTACATCGAAGCCCTGGCTATAGTTGGAGCTTGGTACACGGTCAGAAAGTGTGTGTCTCTGGCGTTTGACACTTACAGCATGCTTAGGGTGCATTTAATTCCAAGGCTGAGCGGCAAGGTTGATCTCGTCAAGCGGTATGGAGAATGGGCAGTGGTCACTGGTAAGAGATGGAAGCTGAATGTCTGCTTATGTTGATGTAACACACTGTGTCAGTACTGTAAGACTCACTAGCTTATATTGTTGGGTGAGCTTTACGTCACAAGCTGGGGCCTGTATTATCTCAGGTTGTCGGTTAATCTGCTTGAGCAGTGACAGTTGTTTGGTGCCTTACTAAATTCAGTTCCTCAGGAGAAGGGCAAGCTCGCTGTGTTGGCTGACTGCTGGGAGAGAATCACAGAGCAGTTTTTCTCCAAAATTGCAAGGTACACCTGGAACGCATCCGAGGGTAGACCAAGATGCAGACAAGGTCCTTTTTTTGCTATGGGCTTTTCATGTGTGCTCAAGCTCTTCAAGGAGCTTTAAGTCATTTACCTCTGACAGCATCCCTTTTCACTAAGGTTCTACTCTAAGCTCTCTGTTGTCACAGCAAAGATGAAATTGTATGGGGTGGGATTGGAGAACGTTGCTCCTGACAATGTTGTCTTTAATGTTGTGGCTTTGAGATGAGCGTATTCAGTGCTGTGTGATCTTCAAAGAAGGGATTAAAGCTCTAACTGAAAGAAATGTCAAAACAGAAGGCTGGGGCTGCTCTGATTTTTACCTTGTTTTCTTATTTTCTATTGCAGGTAGCACAGAAGGTATTGGGAAGGCATATGCTGAAGAACTGGCAAAGCATGGTGTCAATGTCATCTTAATCAGCCAAAACAAAGAGAAGCTGGAGGCTGTATGTAGGAGCATATCTGAAACCTATAAAGTGGAAACAGATTTTGTAGTAGCTGACTTCAGCAAGGGCCGTGAGCCTTACCCAGCCATTAAGGAGGCTCTGAAAGACAGAGAAATTGGGATTTTGGTGAATAACGTAGGCATGTTTTATTCCTACCCGGACTATTTTACCAACCTGTCTGAGGATATGCTGTGGGACATAATCAACATAAATATTGCCTCTGCTAACATGATGGCGCATATTGTGCTGCCAGGCATGGTAAAGAAGAAGAAGGGGGCAATTGTGAATCTTTCTTCTGCGTGCTGTTGCCAGCCAACACCAATGTTGACAGCCTATGCAGCCTCTAAAGTAAGTTGGGGTGCGATGTTTAATGGTATGCACTGAAAAGTAGATGTGTTGTAGGCTGGTTGTGATTTGTTTGGGTTTTTTAAAACACATTCAGCAGGGCTATCAAAATACTTGAAAGTCTTCTGGAGATTTGTTTAAATATCAAAGGAGAATGTCATGTGTATTATGCAGTAAACTCTATCCTCCCTAGTACTGGCTTTGAACCAATGGAATTGGTTCAGGAATGATGCCCAAAACAAAGGGGCAGTTCTGTGACCCACTGAAAGGTCAGGAACTTTATTTCTTCAGCTGAAATGTGCAGGTATATCAAGCTGCTTAGCAGTATTTGGTAGCAAGAGGGGCTATACTGGTGCTCGAGCCACCACTGTGACAAGGGCTGTGGACAAATCAAGCCACTGCTTCACGTAACACCCAGGGGCAGAGGGCTTCTTACACTACGGTCTGTACCATATTTGAGGAGAAGTGGTAAGAGCTCCCCACCCCCAATTATTCTTCCTGAGGAGATCCAGTCAATAATGAATAGAATGAGGCACCTGGGTGATGCTGGAAGTATGAGCGCGTGTGGGGATGTGGATTTACGCTGGATGACTTGCTGCTGAATCCACAAAAGCAAGTGACATTGCAGAAGGATCTTGGCTTAATCCAGTGTCTAAGCACAAGTGGCTTTGGCTCCCAGCTGCCGGTGGCTCCCCTCTGCTGTAGCCTAACCCTGTGCAGCCTTGCTCCTGGCATAGCTCTTGTGAGTACTTCCTTTTGCCTGGAGCAAAACCAGCTCTTACTGCCCCAAGGTATAAAACTCCTTGCAGATTTTCTTCGGTGTGGAAATTGGCTTAGGATTCCTGTTCTGTTTGATCTCCCCTATGGTTATGCCAAGTATAGAACTGCACTCTGAACTTAAGGAATTAAAAGGCCTGAATGAAAAAGAACAAAACTAAGTGTAGCAGAGTTTCTTCCTTCCTCTGGCATCTTTAATCCAAATCCTAGATCAGCAATCCAGTTTAAAGCCTGGCCTCAGAACAGTTACCTTGACACAGAAGTGGGACCTGCACTAAGCACCTTTGTTCGTTAACGGTGTAAAGTGTTTGAAGCAGTTGGTTGGTTTTGTGTGTTTTCCTAAAGGAGGTGTAAGAGCATTTGCAGAAGATGCTCTCCCAACAGCTTGTTGGGAATGGCACTTTTGTGAAGTGGTTTGGGAGTTGAAACTGTTCACTCATCACCTGAATCTAAAACGCTCTTTCCTGGGGCAGCTGCTGTGCAACACAGCAATAGCTTCAGCGTGGCCTCAGTGTTACTGCCTCAGTAAGTGCTCATTTTCATGTCTCTTTGATTCCAGCAATCCTAGTTATCAGACTTGTGCTTTTTTATGTTACTCTGTAAAAGCAGAACGAACTAAAGGAGGTAATACAGATGCACATAAACAAATGCATGTTTGATTTCACACAAGGGAGTCCCAGCTTCTGGAGAAGATCAGTTCAATATGAAATTTACCTGTAACTGTATTAACTGTATAATAGTGTGTATTGTTAGCTTTGGAGTGTCCTCTGCAGTGCCCCCAGCCTAAACAAGGTGTTTGTTTTAGATGAAATAAATGTTTCTGTATTGTTTTTAAGCAGAAATTGTAAGATTGTTTGTTAAATTCACATCAGAGAGTTAAGCAGTCGCTTTGTCCTGCAATTTACTGTACTGCTGCAGGTTTTTAGCAAACAAATAACAAATAGAAATGCTGGTCATGCTTTAGAAATAAGTATTTTTATACTGTTTATTCAAGGTTTTTATTTTTCTAGCTGATGTATATAAAATATGCTACAGCTTTTCTGTAATTTTAATAAAACTTTGCCCTAACACTCGATTTGTTTGTTTTAAAAATATGTCTCTTTCTGCTTTTGTCTTTCTAGAAATACTTGGACTATTTCAGTAGATCACTACATTATGAGTATGCCTCGAAAGGAATTTTTGTCCAGAGTTTAAGCCCATTTCTAGTTACTACAAAAATGGTAGCGTGCAGCAGCCTTTTAACAAAGAGATCTGTCTTTATTCCTTCTGCTGAAGAATATGCAAGTCATGCTGTTTCTACTCTTGGGTTATCCATAAGGACTACTGGTTACTGGAAGCACGCAATACAGGTAACAAAATTCATTGAGCTATTTCCTGTTTGTCAGTAGAAGCAAATAAGCTCTTTACTTTCTTAGGTGTCTGAATGAGAACTACGCTTACATTCTGAAAGAAATGCAACGTATATTGTAGGAATTAAAGGCATTGTGCCCTATTTTCTCACTAATTCTGCTCTAGAAAATTATGCTCAGGCATGCTTATGTTTAGAATGAGAGCGTGAATCCGATTCCCACTTGAAATGCGCGGCAGAAATGGGAAAGAGGCAACTTTTAATTCAAAAGTACAGAACATCTCGTTTTATTTGGTACGTTGCTGCCTAGGCAAGCATTTCACTGCCTTCTGTGAAAAGAAGTAACTTTTTTCAGTCTTACTGAGCAAATTTCTACGTTGGGGAAGAGTGAATAGGGAGGGTGGAACAACAGCAGAAAAAAGAAAAAGCCCACATTTTTATCCTAAGCTGCCTGGATGCAGGTCCTCTGTATGATAAGTTTTCATTTTTAGGGGGCAGGCTGTGGGCTCCAAAGTAATTTTATGAAAGTTGGTCACATCTCACTTGTCCTATTTAATGGCTTTCTATAGCGTTAAGTCAAGTAGCAGGAATTGGAGAAGTGGGGATTAGTCCAAAAGCAATAAAAGAGATTGGAAGGGTTCTGGAAAGATGAAGCAATTAAATATTCATCTGTGTGCGCTACTTCCAAAATGTCTAAATATATTTCTTTTCAGGGGGTTGAATTTAAGGCTTAGTTGCTGCTGTTTGAGCAGATTTTGTCTTGCTTTAGTGGTCATTTGAGAAACTGATTGTATACTTTAATGGAACATGCCTTCATCTGTCCCTTCCTTTCTTCATTTTCTTTTCTTGTGTCACAGGTCATGTTGGGCGAGCGCCTACCTGAACGGATCTGGGTATGGCTTGCAATGTACATTTGTGGAACAGTACGCAAGGAAGCTACAACATGCCAAGTGAAGTAGGAATATCAACTGTCCTGTGTAACGGGTACTAAATCCTGCTCAGAGTGCTGCAAAGATGTTTAGTGAGCCCTGCTGGACTTCCTGTAACTTATCCGTACCTTGCTAAACACCCTACGTGTAACCTAGAGGTCAGAAGTCTGGATCCTCTCTGTATCCTTGCATTAAATAGCTCCTCCTCTGCTTTCTTCTGTGACAAAGAGCTGATCTTGTTGAGGTTAATCTCCACTCACGTTCTCTTCAATGTAATAGGGCAGGAGCGGATATAGTTTTAGTTCTGACAGTAAATGACTGTCTCATGCCTAGTGCTACATGATGTCAGCTTGTAAAGGTGACAGAATTTGAGAGTTCTCCAGATCTGTCAGAAATGGGCCCCCCAGACCTCATGCTGATTAAAAAGACAATCCCAGTCAACTGTGTGAAGTTTCTTTATTATGTAGTTTTATGTAACTTTTCTGGTTTGTATGTTTTAAGTGCAAATGTTGTTGCTTTTGAATGATGTTATTTAAGGAACTTCTCAAAATTAAGGTATATGGCAAGGTAATACCAACGTGGAGGTTTTTTAAGTGACTGAAAAGGTCTCACAGAGCTGTAAAGGAATTTGAAGATAAGCTTGTTTGCTTTCTTATTCCAAGTGTGAATGAAATTATACTTTAAATATTCCTTCAGCAATCTAAAACATGTCTGGAGAATTGAATAAAGAATGTAAAAACACATTAGCTAAAGAAAACTAATGAAGAAGCTATGTTTTGATTTAAAAATGCTGTTTGGTTTCCTAATATAATAAAAATCTTGATGGTTTTGTTTATATAAATATATTTATGCCTATGTTCTTACTAGAGTAATCTGTTGCCATACACAGCTCCTATGTGTTGCAGTCTCTACATCTGAGTCAGGAAAGCTGTCCTTTTTGTATATGCATATTTGCTACCTGAAAGAGGGAACACGACTTAGGAAGGATGTTCTCCAACATCTCTGTATTTTATATTATCATGGGCCCATTAGTACTGCTTCTGTACTGTTACACTGAAGTATCAGACCCATGAAATAACCATATTTGCTGGGCCACAGAGGAAGATACTGATGCTTGAATTATTTACCAGAGTGAAATTCAGGCTGTGATTTTCATCGTGAAGGAGCTCCCTACCTTACCACTTCTCTGTGTTCTGTTGCTGCAGCCCCATAGTCTTGTTATTTTTGAGGGGAAAGAGAGGAGGAGAAGATGGGGAGCAGTCGGGGAGGGTGGGGGTATCAGGGGCAGGACTCATTTGTCTGCCCACATCTCCTGTTACCTGACCCCAAACTCAGCAGGTCCTGAAAGCTGTTTGTGTCAACGGGACAGTGTAAAACTCTGACTTGCGCTTGTTTGCAAGTTGGATTTAAACAAATGCATTTATTTGATGCCGGGCCCCTCACTATAAGAAGGATGTTGAGATTCTGGAGCGTGTTCAGAGCAGAGCCACAAGGATGGTGAGGGCTCTGGAGAACAAGCCTGATGAGGAGCGGCTGAGGGAACTGGGCTTGTTTAGCCTGGAGAAGAGAAGGCTGAGGGGAGACCTCATCACCCCCTCCAACTGCCTCAAGGGAGGTTGTAGAGGTGGGTGCTGGTCTCTTCTCCCAGGTGATGGGGGATAGAACAAGGGGAAACGGCACCAAGCTGTGCCAAGGGAGGTTCAGGTTAGAGCTAAGGAGGAAGTTCTTTCCTGAGAGGGTCGTCAGAAGCTGGCACAGGCTGCCCAGGGAGGTGGTGGAGTCACCATCCCTGGATGTGTAAAAAGAGCGGGGAGATGAGGTACTTAAGGATATGGTTTAGTGGGTAGACAGGAACGGTTGGAGGTGATGATCTCAGAGGTCTTTTCCAACCGAGCGATTCTGTGATTCTGTGATATTTGTAGCAAAGGCTTAAATGAAGCTTGAGAAATGTGAAGCTGTAGAACGCTTCTGCTCCCGTCTTTCCCTCAGCCGTTGCCTGCCCGTCCCTCTCGGTCACGACCACATCTTAAGTGTTCCCGGCAGGAGTTTTCCCACTCAGTTACCTCTGAACGATCAGATTCTCAAACAACCTTCAAAAGGCGGCTGCTGCGCGGCCTCCT